TCATGCGTTTGTCTCGGCGCTGCCCCGCCGCTCTCCTTGCCCTCCATATTCTGGCCCGCGGCCAGGAGGTGGTTGCAGGTGTTCGGCGGCCCTCTTTGGACTGGGCATACCGGGTTGCTACCGGCCCGGTTTGGATTGATAGTTTGGATCGGTGTTTTGGAGGTTAGGGGATGGTTTCTCAATCAATTTCAAAATGATCCAAGGGTTCAATCCCCAAACCACCAATCCAAACCAGCAATTAGGGGTAAGTTGAGGCGGGTGCCAAAAAAGGGCCGAGCTCTCAGGGGCCAAGGTCCAGGCCGTGGTGGGTATGCCAAGAACAGAGCAAATCTTATAGAGCCCGCGCCGGCAAGACATTTTTTGCAACTCAGGCACCAATAATTTTAACACCTCATATAAGTCAAAAAATGTGTACTCGTCGCATGCAAAAAGCATGCTGCAGTTCTCCAAACACAAGTCGCGAGACGCACTGAGGGCCGGGCTGGTCGCGATAAGGTCATGCCAAAGAGTTAATGAAAGGCGGTCGTCTGAGCAAAGTGAGAACGGATCCGCGAGTTGTTATTCTCAAAAGATCCATCCACACACACAACCGTCGCAAGCGCAAGCGAAAACGCGATCGACCACAAAAAATATCCTGGGTGCAGACAAAGCCGAACTAATTTCGCCAAAAGCATTAGGAAAAACACCACTGGTCGCAACAATCGGCCACGGCTCACAATTTCTCGCATCGCCAAATTCTCGGAAAATAGGCCAAGAATTCAACCAAAATTACTACGAACAAGCAGATATATACCCCGATTCTCTGTTTTAAAAACACAACGATTTCGTTCAAAGCCCGGACCATTTTTCCCCGAAATATCCCAAACATTTCGATAATTACACCCAACAACAGCATTTCCCAAAATATTTAGAATAAATTTGCAAAATATCTAGAATATTTCGGGAAATTAATTCATTATATTTTCCGAATTATGGCCTAAACAAATTTAAATAAACAATCATAAGAAATATAAAATGGTTATATCTTCCAAGAGCAACCCGAACCAATTATCCAAAATATCCGGGATTTTTCGGCAAAACAATCCGGGAAAATGTGACGCAAATACGACGAACAAATTACACGGTTTCGTTTTATAGAGTAAATTTCTATAATAAAATTCTCTCTATAAATCTTTCAAATGTTTATATCCTTTCTTTCTATTTTCCAAATTAACCCAAAAATTCGATCCAATATCCATAATTTAACATTTCCTTTCCTTTCCATTCCTTCTTTCTTTCTTTCTTTATTTCATTTAAACTGAATTTCTCAAGTCTTTACGCCTTTTGCCTTTAGCTCTTTGCCTTTGTCATTTTAGCCTCTGCGTCTTTACTCAGCCCCAGCCTGCGCTTCTGCGCCTCAGCCTCTGCTTCGCCTGCGCCTGGTGCCTCGCCTGCCTCGAGGCCCCGCGCTTTTGCCCGCTTCGCGCCTCGCCTCTTGCCTCCGCTTCGCGCTGCGCTCGCTTGCGCCTGCGCTGCGTTCCTGCGCTCTCAGCCCTGCGTCATGTCTTCAAGGCTTATAAGCCTCATGGCTCACAATGCTGGGCTGCGCTTTCGCTGGGCCGCTCAAGGTTTCGCGCTTCGCGTTCTCTGCTCTGCGCTTTCACAAGCCATGGGGCTTGCGCTTCATACTACAATACAATATACCTCACACACGCAGGCAGAAGTAATAACCATATTACAATACTACAATAGCAATAAGGTCTCACACATGATACGCTTGCTCATTGCATTTCATTCACATTAAGGCTACTACTTATGTACACATAATATACTACACACATTACATTATGGCTTTACATCAGCGCTTCGCGCTTCGCGCTCGCGGGGCCGCGCGGCCACGGGTCGAAGGCTGCGTTCGCCGCTGCGCTCGCGCTCGCGCCGCGGGGGTCAGGCGCTTCGCGCTTCGCGCTCGCGCCCGCGCCGCGCCGCGCCCGCGCCGCGCCCCGCGCTCGCGCTTCGCGCCGCGCTCTCTGCGCTTCGCGTCTTCGCGTTTCGCGCCACGCCGCGCCGCGCCCTGCGCCTGCGCCTCGCGTTCCCCGGCCTCCGGCCCTCCGGCCTCCGGCCTCCGGCCTCCGGCCTCCGGCCTCCGGCCTCCGGCCTCCGGCCTCCGGCTCCGGCTCCGGCTCCGGCTCCGGCTCCGGCTCCGGCGCCGCCTGCTCCGGTGTTCCTGCGCCTGCGCCTGCGGCGCTTGCGCCGCCGGCTCCTTCTCCTTCTCCTTCTCCTTCTCCTTCTCCTTCTCCTTCTCCTTCTCCTTCTCCTTCTCCTTCTCCTTCTCCTTCTACTTCTCCTTCTCCTTCTCCTTCTCCTTCTCCTTCTCCTTCTCCTTCTCCTTCTCCTTCTCCTTCTCCTTCTCCTTCTCCTTTCTCTCCTCTTTCTCTTTCTCTTTCTCTTTCTCTTTCTCTTTCTCTTTCTCTTTCTCTTTCTCTTTCTCTTTCTCTTTCTCTTTCTCTTTCTCTTTCTCTTTCTCTTTCCTTCCTTCTCCTTCTCTTCTCTCTCCTTCTCTCTCCTTCTCCTTCTCCTTCTCCTTCTCCTTCTCCTTCTCCTTCTCCTTCTCCTTCTCCTTCTCCTTCTCCTTCTCCTTCTCCTTCTCCTTCTCTCTTTCTCTTTCTCTTTCTCTTTCTGTCTCTGTCTCTGTCTCTGTCTCTGTCTCTGTCTCTGTCTCTGTCTCTGTCTCTGTCTCTGTCTCTGTCTCTGTCTCTTTCTCTTTCTCTTTCTCTTTCTCTTTCTCTTTCTCTTTCTCTTTCTCTTTCTCTTTCTCTTTCTCTTTCTCTTTCTCTTTCTCTTTCTCTTTCTCTTTCTCTTTCTCTTTCTCTTTCTCTTTCTCTTTCTCTTTCTCTCTCTTTCTCTTTCTCTTTCTCTTTCTCTTTCTCTTTCTCTTTCTCTTTCTCTTTCTCTTTCTCTTTCTCTTTCTCTTTCTCTTTCTCTTTCTCTTTCTCTCTCTCTCTCTCTCTCTCTCTCTCTCTCTCTCTCTCTCTCTCTTTCTCTCTCTCTCTCTTTTTCTTTTTCTCTTTCTCTTTCTCTTTCTCTTTCTCTTTCTCTTTCTCTCTTTCTCTCTCTTTTTCTTTCTCTCTTCTACCTATTGTTCTTTCTTTCTAGCGATCTCGTCCTCTCTTTATCCATCCACCCACATTACAAAAATACCACCCGTCACGGGATCCATACCTCACCTCTCAGAAAATGCTCTTCCTACCCCGATATAACCTTACAAAAGAGCTATGCCTACCACGAAATCGGCACAAATCTCGCAACCAATACAGTCCGATTCATAAAATCAGCTGCATTGTTTGCAACAAACCACAATATGTGCATAGCAAGTAACGTTGCAACAAAGTCTCAAATACAAATATAATTAAACCCTTTATAACCGTGCCAAACCACACAATTTAATATATATATATATGTTCATTAGTTCATCTTATTTATATACAACCTTACCTTCTAATAAAGTTGCAAAAAGTCCTTTAAAATGTCCTTAAACTAATATAATTATGTATATACATATGTAGATATTTATTTATTTATTTACGTAAGTATATGTCTCTAATGTTCTATGTAGATATATATATATATATATATATATATATTAAAACTTGATACAGTTATATGATTATACATACATAGATATATATATATATATGTATATATTCATACATATCTATATATGTACACATATGTATATATATATAGAGATAAATATTTTATGTGTATATATATATATATAAATACACTTGTTGTTCCATTAGTCTTAACAATTACCAAAATATTGGGAAACCCGCCCATGTATCGTGTTTCTTCCTCAGGACTCGTGTCCAGATCCATTATGCAAGTTATTCCATCAAAAATGGCGGAAGAGGGTTGGATGATCTTCGGTTGAGCATCAAGCCATCCAAAATCACAATTTGAACGCAAAGCTGTCCTTCGTGTTGACTCAACTGTGCTTCATGGCCCAACGCATAATCATCCCACATCTAAGCAATTGAATTCCCGCCTAAAACGCTGGCCACCGTCTTTATGCCCAACAGCGTTCAGGCAGCAATGGGGTTCGCCTCTGAGCCATCTTGAAATCCAATCCACGCAAACATTTCGCTGTGATCCGATGCTTCGCGGCTTCGTGCCAGAAGCTTTAGGATCGAGTTCTGTTCCCTGACTCCACGATGCCCAAAGCTTTCAGCCTTGCAAGCGGTTGCCTCTGAACTGATCTGACCCTGGTGTTTCAAGTGCCACCAGATTTCAAACAGGTCAGAAACAGCACTTGCTGTTTCAAGTGCCCGACTCCATATGATACATGCACTTATGTACAGCGTCCCTGTAAATGAGACTTGGCCTAGAAAGCCAATTGGGCGGTGGCCTGCACACACCGCACATTGTTCACTAGTCTTCAGAAAAAGGTGCTTTTTCCGTAGGATCTTTCTATCAACCACAAGTGCCTTGACATGCGCTCCTTGCCAATGCCACTGGTTCTTCCAGCAGAATGGCAAAATGGTACTTGCTGCTGAGGTCGCGATTGAAAGTGAGAACCAGTGGAGGTTGAAAGCGCAAATTGTCACGTGATCGGCTGCACCCCCTGAAGGCAGATTCAAAGACTCCGCCCAAGCCATACAATGGTTTTTGGCAGCTCAAGAAGGCTTCGTCCGAGTCTTTCGTTTTAATCCATGCCCGTGCAAATCTCATAAGCCTCAGCAAGCCGAGTCCTCTTCTCATGGGGCGTTTTGCCATGTCACGCGACGAGGGGCACTTGGCAATCGGCTGCCCCCGAAATTCCCTCAATTTAGGGTGTTTTCGCCTTTGCCACACAAAGCGGTGGTCGCCTTGGGCTGATCCTTCCATGCAGGGTGATACCCGGGAGTGGCCATGTGGCCACGTCAACTCCAGTGGCAACAGACGCCTCTCAACCAAGGTCGCGTGAAGGGTGCGTATAAAATGCCAAAGTGCTTCTTTCAAAGATAAAACATCTACAAAGACAATTCCGAATGGGGCAGGAGGGTTACGTGCTGCTGGCCGCTTACAACTCATGAAACGGCCCAATGCCGTTGCCATTGGCTCCTCTTCTGGGTGCCACGAAGCCCACCTGAGCCGAACACCAAGCCAGTGCCATGGTCATTCAGGTGCCCACCAAAATGCAAACATGTCCCGCTGAAAAGCACATGAAACACACCCAGGTCGCTTCTTTCTGACTTGAGCTACATTTCAGTCTGTGCGTACACAAGAAATGATTCAAGTCAACAAGTGTTTTTAAGCCCCTGGTGCATTCCCCAAACTTCAGGTACGGCCCCCATGTTTCATGTAGCCGTGTATTCCACCGTAATTGCAAGGGAATCAATGGAACCCTGGGCGACTTCCTACCTCAAGCTCGCACAAACTCATGTCATACCATCGCTATGCAAGTCCGCTAGTTGGACGAGACTCAAGCGAAAGAATTGAGGAAAGCCTTGTGAAGAGAGATCCCCGCACCTGACAAATTGCCGTTGCCTCGATATATCACAACGGGATGAAGAAAATTCAAACAACCATTGATGGGTTGGCATAAGCAGCATATGGTTTTATTTCCTGGTGGCTCACATTGAATTGCCAGAATTTCATATGGTTGCACCAAGTTGCACCTCGAAATTGGTGAGGAGGTGTTATTGGGATGTCCACGGCCCCCGGCAGATTGACGTGCCCGGCCAGAACAAATCCGTTCCCCCTTGGGAACAAGCCCTGCCGCGGCGCTCAAGGGCTCGTCTGTGGGGAGGAGCCAGTTTGGTTGTGTCCCTCCCTACCACTCAATTTCCTTTGTGTGTCAGCTTGCTGCAACTTCTAAAGCTGATTATCACACTCGGTTTTTTTTCCTGCTTATGGCAGGCTAATCAACTGCAAGGCAGGCGTTCGGTAGGGTGTTGTGGCTTGCAGCTAGCCAATCATGCAAAGCTTAAAGGCCCCTTCCTCGACAGTGACCCGATGGTTCTGTCGGTCTCCCAGCTTTCCATCGTGCGGCAACACTGAAAACACCGAATTGAAAGCATCCACGCATCAGTTGGACCGCCCGGAGCCCGCCTTGGCTTCGCCGACTATGCGTTGCCCAGGGCCAGTAAGGCCTGAAGGATATGACTTCTCATGTTGGCCTCTTATCGGCACTCGCTTAGCAAGAAGAACAACAAGCAGGCAAAAGTGCAAGCCGTAGGAGGCAGGCACGCTGGTAGACACACAAGCAGGCAGGCAGGCAGGGCAGGGCAGGGCAGGGCAGGGCAGGGCAGGGCAGGGCAGGGCAGGGGGTGGGGCAGGGGCAGGGGCAGGGGCAGGGGCAGGGGCAGGGGCAGGGGCAGGGCAGGGGCAGGGGCAGGGGCAGGGGCAGGGGCAGGGGCAGGGGCAGGGGCAGGGGCAGGGGCAGGGGCAGGGGCAGGGGCAGGGGCAGGGGCAGGGGCAGGGGCAGGGGCAGGGGCAGGGGCAGGAGCAGGGGCAGGCCGGCGGGCGCACAACCGTGAAGCGCGAAACAACACACAAACAAGGCAACATCACGACAGGACACACACGACACGAAACAGGTCCCAAGCTGCCCCCGCAGGAACCCATGGCGACCAAAAAGCAAGGAGTTTCGGATCCCCTGGCCGCATCCTCGACGGGACGCCCGAAGAGCCAGGGGCAGGCGCCGACTCCACAAAAGCAACAAAGCAAAAGCAGCACAGGTCCACACACAAACAGACACAGACACAGACACAGGCACAGACACGACACAGACACGACACAGACACACACAGACACACTCACCGCCTGCGCGTGCTGTGTGTGTGTGTGTGTGTGGTGTTCACTGGCACAAAGAAAAGAAAGTATCCGGATCACCTGCGCACTGGGTCTCGGATATGTGTCCTGCATATCAGGGAGCTCTTTTGTTGAGGGGTGGCAGTTGGTAGACGCTGGACTCACAAACCTTAATATAAACTTTGTCTGCCTGTACAACCCAAATGTTAACCCGGTTGAACTTTGGTTTTGGACAGGAAAAAGCAGTCAATAGCATCAATGTCTTGTTGATTGTCACCAGCCTGCACCGAACAAGGATACAAGCAAAACACCAGTTGTCGCCACTACTCTATGTCTATACAAACCTCGAACCTTGGCTTGTTACTGTAGATGCGGGTGATTTGGTTGTGAGCGGGTACCGGTTTTAAAAGGGAAGGCAACAGGAAAGCCACCGTTTTGGAGCGTCCCCTAAAGACGCACCCAAATATTATCTGCAAAGGCTGGCTTCCCCGCCTCCTGGGTAATGGTACCCCAAGTCGTCTGCCTCGAACCCACTTCCGGCAAGTCCGCGAGTGTAACAAACTCATGCCGTCCAGACAGCTAGAGCCATAAAATGTTGAAGCGAGTGAGGAGTGAGACTCTTGCACGTGACTAAATGCAAGTCCAACGATTGTCAAGCAAGGTCAGCTGGTACAAGGAGTCCGTTCAGTCAACACATCACGGCATGAGAAAGAGCGGCATTTACATACACAAGCAAGGGGACGGGGTTGCAAGTGTGGGCACGTGGTAGGAAACTGAATCGGGCAGGTACAGCTTCGTGGCTTTGGGTCTTACTAGCAAAGCAATGAACCTTCCAGGCATTTGAGCATGTTCCGGATTTCACTTGCCCCCCCCCCCCCCCCGGCCCCCCCACCCTCAAGAATGAAGGCAAGCTCGCTGAACTGCATGCAAAAGCCCTGAGTGTGTGACAAGCACGTCTGAGGCTTTGAGGTCAGTACTTAGATTTGCCTAGTAGCTGTGACCCGCAGCAAGCCAAAGTCCAATCCCTTGCCCTTCTTTCTGCGAGATTCAAGGAAATATAGAAGCAGATGGTAACCCATCCCAGCCCATAGAGACTCTACACCATGTAGGAACCATTGATGTCCCTGATACCGTGCGTCAATAAGTACTTTGCACGTCAAGCAAAACACACTTTCACTGGAGACAACCCCCCACCCCACCCCTAAGCTAAGCGAAGGTCACTGGTTCTACTGGGTCTGGAAGACAAGGTCTTGAAGGATCCTGCGCAAAAAGAAAAACAGGCCAGCCCAAAACTGAATTCCGATCCTGCTTCCCTGGCTGCTTAGTAAGGCTTACGACATTTGGCTTTTTGAGGGTTAGCCAACGCGGTGGACCTCGAGGCTCTGAAAAGTGGCAAACACAAGTGGTGGCAGGGTGACGGCCCAGAGTTCTAGGTGCCTTTTGTGGTTGGCTACCATGATGGCAATGGTGAAGAGAGATCAGCAAGGCCTGAGTTTAGGTTCTTCAATTGTTGCAACCGTAAAAAATGCAGACTGGCCAAATCAAGGACTTCCCCTGCACCTGAGTCCCTTCATTCAGCTGCAAATGAACACATGTCTCCTGTTGGTGCAACTTTGAGCATTGGGAATGGAGGAAACAAACTCAAGCACACGTGTGGAGTCTGAATCAATCTCACTCCGCGAAGGTTAAGTAAGACATTGCTATTTGGAACACCAAAGTCCTCATCTGATCAAGATGTCCCAAGTGCTTTCGCAGGTGATCCCAAATGCAAACGCCCATTCTATTTGTCGCAATAAGGCTCGACGTTCCACGATGGCGGGGGAGGAATACGATGCCACAGAGGCCATCGAATGGGGCCGCAAAGAAGGAGATGGTAGAGCGCTAGGCGGCTTTGAATCCTCGGAAACGCAGCGCGCGATCCCCATGTCCAACCAGAGTGGAAAGGCTCTGCATGCAAAGGATACAAGAGAAAGTCCCTCAGCATATTACACCGGCCAAAGAATACATAGAATCCAAGCCACAAATTGAATGTGGCAATGTGGCTCTTGCCTCAGTTGCTGCGCTGAATCATTATCAAGATTCAAGGAGCAAATGCCACTCGATGTGATTGGACACATCACGCGAAGCTCTGAAACCCTTGGTCAAACATGCTGCAAAGGAACTCATGGCGTGGTACGAGAAGCCTTTTCGGAGAGGAATGCTTTCCTTGATGAATTCTTGATGTTTCCATTAAAAATAATGTGTGACCATCCCTCTTTCTATCTTGATCTTCATGATGGCACACATGTATCGATGAGCTGGGCGGGCCCCACTTGTCCAAACTCGGACAAACTTCGGATCCATGAACAGGTGCCTGCTGGATGATTGTCTGGACATTGGCCATTGACAACCATGAGTAAAGTCCAACAGAATCGAGTGTCCATGCTTGCCGGAACTTTTGCATTTGCTGTTTTACATTCATGAGCTCTCTGGTCAACAGAGCCCGGCCCAAATAGAACAAAACACCCAGGCCCTCAAAGAACCTCCACCGCGAAAACCGACTCGCAGCCCGGTCCACGCGCAGAACTGTCCAATCCGCAAATTCCTCATCCTGCCACGCAGCATTGCATCCCTCAATGCTCAATGCGGGTTTGGAACCTCTTTTTTTTGGCACTAAACCCACAAATCCCTGGTCCAATATTACTTCTTGGGCCATGCTCAATCGCACCTAGCTGGCTCATCGTCAACGTCAGCACTAAGTACAGACAGACACCACAAAAACCTCAAGCATCACGCCTCTTCTTCTCCTCCTTCTTCTTCTTCTTCCCCGAAGAGCAGCAGCAGCAGCAGCAGCACCAGATGGAAGAGGAGGAGAAGGGGAGCAGGAGCAGGAGCAGGAGAAAACCGGCAGCGCAACGGCAAAAGATCACACACACAACGACATCGAGACCGTCCCAATCTTCAATAGGCTCTCGCTGGCATGAGTGCCTGCTATACATGCTAGATAAGCCAACAAATACAAGAAACACCCCGCTGACTGGTGCATCCCACCGGATTGTGCAAATTCCTGGCCTGGAATGCCCGGCCAGGTGTGCCGGGGGGGCTGCAGGTCACGTCCTCAATACCAGGCAAAGGCTTGTGATGCTTCACTTAGATTGGTTTGTGGCCCGGCGTGACACCATGAGTTCACAAACACGTACTGCTCTTTCTTCGCCAAGGCTTTTAAGGGACCAGCGGACCAGCACAGAAAGCGGAGATGAACGCCGCATCCCTACATGGATTCAAAATCTGACCTTTTTTCCTGATGCCCCATGAAGCATTGAACAACATAACTCGCTCCCCCGACCTGGAAATTAGAGATTTTTGTTGCGGGAAAGATATATATATATGCATCTACGTACCCTCCGAAGCTCATGGATCTCTGCGAGGGGCAGAAGCACTTGCCGGGCTTGAGCAGGTCCCAACCGCAGCGCCCAAATCAAGACCTCGGGCACTGGTTGCATTCACACCCGAGCAAGACTATCCGCCGGTACAGCAAATGCAAGCAAGGGCTGATTCACGCAAACAAGATTTGCCTATGACTTAAGCGAACCGCTGTCCAAATTTAGATGCCTAAGCGCAATCAGGCAAGACAAACATAACGAGACAACAAAAAGACTTCAAAACAAAAGTTTGTTCTGTTCACGGTTGATATGCATCACGAGATTTATCAACCCTCCCAAGGATGCTTTTAACTCCTCGCAAGTCAATTGCACTTGACTCCTTGCACTTGCAACTTGCACTTGACTCCTTGCTTGTTTCAAGGAGTCATTGCAAGGAGTCATGGGAGTCATTGCAAGGAGTCATTGCAAGGAGTCATTGCAAGGAGTCATTGCAAGGAGTCAAAGGAGTGCAAGGAGTCATGGCAAGGAGTCATTGCAAGGAGTCATTGCAAGGAGTCATTGCAAGGAGTCATTGCAAGGAATCATGGAGCCATTGCAAGTTGCAAGGAGCCAAGTGCATGGAGTCAAGTGCAAGTCGCAAGTGCACGGAGTTAAGTGCAAGTTGCAAGTGCAAGGAGCCCAAGTGCAAGGAGCCAAGTGCATGGAGTCAAGTGCAAGTTGCAAGTGCATGGAGTCAAGTGCAAGTGCAAGTGCAATCAAGTGCAAGTCCTTGCAATGACTCCTTGCAATGACTCCTTGCAATGACTCCTTGCAATGACTCCTTGCAATGACTCCTTGCAATGACTCCTTGCCATGACTCCTTGCACTTGACTCCTTGCAATGACTCCTTGCAATGACTCCTTGCAATGACTCCTTGCCATGACTCCTTGCCATGACTCCTTGCAATGACTCCTTGCAATGACTCCTTGCCATGACTCCTTGCAATGACTCTTCGCAATGACTCCTTGCAATGACTCCTTGCAATGACTCCTTGCAATGACTCCTTGCAGCAATGACTTTCATGATGATGATTCCTTGCAATGACTCCTTGCAATGACTTTCATGATGCTGATTCCTTGCAATGACTCCTTGCAATGACTTTCATGATGCTGATTCCTTGCAATGACACCTTGGAATGACTCTCATGAGAACAACTCAAGTGAACCCAGCGGAAGAACCCTTCGCCATGCTTTCGGGAGAAAAAAGAAAGAAAAAATAACAACAACTGGGGAAAACATGAAACAAAAAAGCCTCCAAAGCAAGGGCCCTAAACCCAAAAAACAACATTTAAGACAAGGTCCTCCAACCAAAATGGCCTAAACCAAAAAAACAGACCAAATAGTTTCAAAAAGGTCCTCCACAATGGTAGCCACTGCCAGCTTTTGTTTCATACTCCCTGATGTTTCGTTTTGTGTTTGGTTGCGTTTCTGGTCTTTGTGGTTCCTGCTTTTGTTTTTCTGATTGTTGTCGTATTGTTTTAAACCCGGTTGTTTCTGATTTTCTGGCTTTTGGCAAAGGACATCAACTGCAAGCATCTGTCCTTGCCCCTGTCTTCTAGAAATCTTTCTGTAGCAGTGCCTGTAGTAGGGCCACAGACTGACGAACAGGGCAGAGGACAGAACCTTTGAGGACCTCGCAAACGTTCAATACAATCTCAGAGAGATTTACAGTTTAGTCGTTTCTTCTGAGTGTCTGCCGTTTAGTGAGGTGAAAAACCGCTGGAAATTCGTTGGAAATGCAATGTCAGCTCTTTTCGGCGCAAGGCGTTAGTTAAGTTTAAGTCACATCTTAATATGATTTCAATTGTTTTCTTATTTCGGGTTTTGTAGAACAAATGCCTTTCCACGTAGGATTCTAAAAAAAAGCATTTTAGAAGTTGCAACCAATCTAGTGAGGAACCGGTTTTCTTAGTCATGGTAACTATGAATCGCACGCTTAGTTAGGTCTTGCGCACAAACTCCTTTCCAAGTATGATTCTGTGGCATGTAAAACAATCTAGCAAGGAACAAAGCTGGTTGTCTATTCTAATTAATCTAGTTACAATTCTTCTTCCGAGTTAGATTTACAATTGGAACTTCATGTCTTCTTCGGAAAATGCGACCACTATGTGAAAGGCACCTGCACGACCTGCTCCGCATCTTCACGTGAAGAACATCGACAACCTCTCCCCTGACAGGCTGCAGCTTCGGCGCTCGGTTGGCGGGCGAAGCCATCCTTCCACGTGAGAACTTGCATACTCGCCGACCGCGGTCAAGCCACTTTTAGCGTTCTCCGCAGCACCCATGTCTTTCTTCCAGGCTCCACCCATGTCCTGGACAGCAACAAACGTGTCTCAGCACAGCATGAGGAAATGCGCCGTCCTTCCACGCATGCTTGCCGACTGCGGGTCAAGCCATGTTGAGAGGGGGGTTTTCTCACCACCTTTCTTCCAAGCTCCACCCATCCATGTCCTGTGGACGCACCGCAACACACGTGTCTGAGAGCAGTGAGACGCTGCGCAAATCACAAATGTCGGCGCATGGCACCTCCCGCCCCCCGCCTTTTTGTGGGTCGTTTCCTGCGTCGAAGTCAACATCAGTCTCCTCGCCACCTATGTCTGTCTCGCAGGCTCCTCCCGCGTCTGGCCAGGCATCCTGGAGGCAGTGCAACAGGTGCGTCGCAACAGGTCGCACCACCGCACCACCTTCTCAGTTTAAGCCTCTGCTAGCGCCTCCTGGTCATGCGCCATCTCCGGACAGGGGAGAGACCTGATGTAGACAAGCGCCGAAGAAGACCGAAGGGGACAAACCGCAAATCAGGCCCCCGACTACTAAAAAACAACAACATGTTTCTTCTAGCAAAACATTTTGTTATGCGCAGACCCCCATCAACTGCAGGTCGGGCAAGTTCCTGCCGCGTCCTCCTCTCCTGAACGCAGTGCAACAAACGTGTCTCAGCACAGTATGTAGGTCCTCCTGACTGGATGGACACCTTATGCTGCAAGCTAAGCATTGTTGCAAATTTGCTCCGTCACATGCGCGTGACAGTTTGCTAACCAGTTTTACACAGTCTTGCTGCTTTCCCACGCCTGTGGCGTAAGCAGGATTTTGAGTTGAGACAGTGGTTGCATGCTTTGTGACATGGCTTGTTTACCTCGTTGTTTGGACTTGTTCAAAACATTTTGAAGCAACATGCCAAACAATAAACGCGCGGCTGCCACAGTTTCTGGCAGGACCGCCCGCTGAGCAGCAAGTCATGCGCGCAACCCCCGCCTTCGTCCGCCGCTTCTTGAGAGGGCGATCGGCTTCTGCAGTCGTCAAGAGCCACCTTGCTGGGTTACCCCAAGTCTTCTCCCGGTGGTTGGCAGACCCTTGCGTCAACAATGCTAGCCGCAGCTGGGCGCTCTCGCAAAGAAAATCGCCTTTCCATCGGCCGCCACTCTTCCTCCTGCACAGTGGCAGGGGTATTAGACCGGGATGCCGCTCGACCCTGTGTTCGGCCATGTGGGCCATGAGGTCTCTTTCTGTCAGAACAGCTGAAGTAATCCACTTGACGTTTTGGACCAATGCACATCTGGAGCCAGTCACCCTCGGACCGCGGCGCCCGCAAACAGAAATGAAAAGTGACTTGACTTGCTTGGGGAATATGCCAACATTTCAGGGACCCTAGGAGTGATTTAAATGGCGCGCGCCATCTTCACACACAACAAGAACACACTCCGCCCTGAAAGTCGAGATGCCCCGTTGCGCACGGGGCGCCGCTTGCTTTCTGAGTTGCTTCCTAACGTCAAACTCTGAGCTGCATGTGGCAGACTTGAGAACATGAACGGCGATTCACGCTGTTGGCGCAACCAAGCAAAAATGCAAGGAGCAGGGCAAGGAGCACCTTGAAAAACTAGAAATGCACGGGACCTTCGAAGCATCGTGCTCGAATACGTAATTCAAATAGCCGAATACTAAATTTCAAATTGCGGCGTCTTTTTTGTTGCGCAACAAAACGGTTCCGAATTGGAAAGTAGTATTCGGAATGACTTAGGTCACGTTGCAGGGATGGCACCGCGTGAGCCTCCATTTACGGGTTCGTAATGGAAAGCAGTATTCGGCTGGCGGCCGGCGTGCCACGCGTCACCCACAGAAGATGGCGCAATTTGTTGGGGGAAAAAAGAAACTATGTTATTGTTTTTTTTTTAGTTGATTGTTTTTTCTTGTGCTTTTTTTTAATGACCTTGTATTGTCTGACCGAAATTACATACAATTGTACTGTCTATCTTCAATTGGAATCTAAAAACACATCCTGTCCATGAATAGATCTTGACAAGGTAAGAATTCAAGTATGAGATAATATGGTGATTGTAATGCAAATGTTAACTCATTTTCTAACAAGATCTGATCTGATTGAATGTGTATATATATATATATGTGTGTTCGACCCGAAGAAGGACATAATTCAATTTGAATGTCTATGTTGATTAAGAATTTAAGTAGGAGTTCCTTTCCAAAAAGGGTTTTAGAAAGTTTAATTGCCGTGCAACTCGATGTTGCATATGTGGTTCGTCTTAGATCTTAAGTAGAATGTCCTTTCCAAAAATGTTCTTACTCAAAGTGAACTGCAATTCGAATGCAATTTGATAAGTTCCCACATAGGTTTTCAGCTTTTGGGCTACAAAATATACTACAAAGGTAGTTCATGGGGGGGAGTATATTTGCATGTGTATACAAATATATATATATGTATACATACTATGCACGTTTAATATGCATAAGCAGCTGAGAGCATCCCAACATGCAAAGATTCTAAAGTAACACGCAAAATTTTGATGAACCTGTCAAACAACCACAAAGGCTGAGCCACATTCGTCCCATCCCCTCTGCCCAAACTAGGGCTGGCGGCTGCTAGTCATGGTTGGCGTCGTGGAGGTGACCTCACTAGGCATCAACATGAAGCAAACCCGGCTGGAGTCGCACGTCTCCACAAAAAAAACCTCCCTTCCCTGGGTGCTATTCAAAGGCAACCTTCCAGGAAGCCGACCGATCTCAGTGGGATGGCCACCACATTTGGCATGGAGCATGCTGAACAGCGACGCCTACTTTGAGCAGACGAATTTCGCCTCCACCCTTTAAGAAACGTGGGACATGGGCATGGCCGGCATGGCCAGGTTGACCGCAGGCCTCTCAATCAAATCATACTCAAACGAGTAGCTGATGATACATGCTATCTTAAGTATTCTACTTTGTCTCGTATGCAAGGTCGAGAGTCATGTGTGTGTGTGCGTGTGTGTTTGTGTGTTTGTGCCTTGGAAGCTAGGATCGACCCGTGCCGAAATTGGACGGCCAAACGTCTTTCGGAACAAACTCGCAAGTCACAAAATCCTTTCAAAGCGTGAACCAAAGCAATGAAAAGGACATTGAACATACGACAGTGCAATTTCAACATGGCAATCCTTCAGCAATGCTAATAAACACCGGCAAGTCTATCCAAACGTTCTCCAAATTCAAACTTCTTTCTTAACACCTCCTTCACCTCAAACAACTGTGTCGATGGCTTTCTCCGCATGAAGGACAAATTACACAAATTTTGCCTGAAACTTGCATTTTGGGTGCGAGTGAGATTGCCCAATCACACTTTGGGGCAACACCTGCCATCCAGAATATTCTCCAGCCAAATGTTATGGAAACGGCATGCAGGCCTCCAAACTCAAACGTTTGCCCCCGCTCACCCACGAAATTCGAATCTCAACACAAAAAGCCCTCCAAACCTGGCTGCAGACCGACTGCCTTGAAAGATTTCAGTCATGAAAACAAAGCCCAGCAGCAAAGGAATGCACACAAAGCCATCTACGCTACTGACCGCCTATCAAGTTCCGCTTCTTTGCTGATTCATCTACCAATTTGGAGACACTGCCATCCTGGCTCGGCCTCGGCCGTGCCGGTAGAGGTCGAGGCTGAACCGGCTTTGGCCGACTCGGCATCCTGCATGGCAGGCCCCCGACCATGTCCCCACTTGAGTGGCCAGGAAAATGGGACGCCGGGAGAATGGGACCCATGCAGTGCAGCACACCTCGTTACGCAAGAGACTGATCAACCAAGCTCACTTCAATCGGTTCTGCAAGTGGGCAAAACCCCGAAAGCAGGCTGGAACAACTAGCAAGTAGAAGAGACAAGGAGAGGAGCAAGGAAGGAACTGGAGAGAGAGGTGGAGAAAAGGGCGGGAAGGAGAAAAGCTGAGGAAAGCCCAACACGTGCAAACAACATCCCGAGACCTACTCGGCCGTGTAAAACTTTACCTGTTCCACCAACAGACAGGGAAGCCAAAAGGCAATGATCAGATGGACATAGAAAACCCATGCCACACGATTTGGGGGGGGGGGGGGGAACATTCAGGGTATTGATCTAGAAAAACCGCGCCATAAGCGTTCACTATTCGTTGTTTCCTGCATCTGAGGGCGGGCAAACACAGAGGGAGAGAGAGAGAGAGGCTCAAACACAAAAGTAGGAAGATGCAAAAAGAGGAAAATCTCGAGAGCAAGCAGCCAAAAGAGCAAGAAGCTGAGCCGGGAAAACAGATCGGGACAAGAAACGCGGAGAGAAATGCAAGAGGAGAACTGAAAGATTAAAACAAAAGACGCCTGGATAAAAGATTGCGGAGATGAGCGAAGAAAAAGAAAAGAGTGGAGAAGAGCAGGGCGAAAGCGGGGAGGGGCCTGGAAGAGCGGAGATGAAGATCAAAAAGAGAAGCTGACGAACCCCCGGGAAGAGTTAACAGGACAGGGAGAAGAGCACACAAATAAGCAACAAAGACAATAATCCCGGGAGGGGGGATCTTTGCATCGTTGTTGATTCCAGAATCCACCCTGTTGCTGTGCACAGCCCTGAACCCAATTAATATGACACGGGTGCGTGATGCGTGAGATAGCATCCGGTGAAGGTCACAATCGCGTACATTCAATTGAAGCCTTCCTGCTTTCTTCGCATGGCCTTGCAACCGAGCAATCCTTGAGCCAAACACAAGCAGTCCATTCCCTGACATGAGATGGACCCCAGCACCCGGCGCACATATGGGAACCATGTGTGGTGGAGCTGCTATCTCATCACAAGAAGACAATGGCAAAGATCCAAAGTGGCTGACCTCAATGGGTGAGGTCGAGAAAAGCCTTAATCTCCAAGTATCGCCGTTCAGGCAAAACATACCCTTTGCACATTTATGCAATCCGGCTACACGCAGTTTGGGATTGCCAGGGCTTGCCAGGCAAAAAACGGCAAAACAGCACACAACATTTCGCGCCCAAACACAAACACCACCCCGCCTCCCGACTTTCGCAGTCCTGGCGCTCAAACCACGCAGGGACCTGTGGGGGGTGGGGGGTGGGGGGTGGTGGGGTGGGGTTTGGGGTGGGGTTTGGGTGGGGGTTGGGTGGGGTGGCTCCGGTAGCATATGTGGGGTGGGTGGGGTGGGTTGGGGTGGGCCGAGATTTCCTTCATGGTGATGCGGACGCAGTAAGAAGAATTCTGTTCAAGGGTGATGAGGTCAGTACGACAAAAAGGGCTATTGTGGCTATGGGGGGCGGGTCAGTCAGTAAGCCTCGGATGGGTGGGGTGGGGATGGCTGGGTTACGGTCATGAGAATGCGCACGCAGTAAGATGAATAAGCCCTAAGGGGGGGCAGGTGCCGGGCGGGGTCGGGGAAAGTAACACGATGTTTCGCTGCAAGTGCACAACTGACCGCTTGGCTGAAAAGCGAGTGCACACACGACCAAAATCCGAGTGTGCAAACGACAGCTTTTGCGAGTGCACAAACAAACCCCCGCAAGTTGCGATAGGTCTAGTTCTGTAATCTGCTTGAACTTACTCTTGTGATCTTATGTCCGCCTTCAACGCTTGCTTCTGCAATACCGCTTCAGGACGAGCTGCTTGATTGCTTCAAACAAGCAGATCACAGAAAGGGCATTCATAAATTCAGGGCACCTTTGCTGCCTTTGCGGCCGACTCTGGGCTTGTTCAGTCGAAAAATCACCGGAGTCAATCAAACGGGAAAGTGGCAGTAGCATGGCCTGGCTCAATGAAACAGGAAACGCCATCACGCCAATCGGGGATCTTGTGCCTTTTGCCAATGAAAACAGCACGATTGACACACAACAGCTTTTGAAAAAACATTCTAACACCTTGTCGAGTCTCAGAATGTTGAGGATCCACTGCCATCTTGATCGTACATCAAGGATCACAGCAGTCTGATACGTGCAACATGCCCTCCCACCAACTAACATGGCACCTGACAAGGGGGTCTCTCCAAAAGGAAATGGGTCTTCCAGGACCCGCCCTGTCAGGTTCCATGATAATTGGTGGCGGGGTAAGTAGGTCTTGCGGGCTTCTCAGGATCTGACGTGAGCTTTCCCCTATGCACTTTTGCAGCCCAATGACCAAACAATCCCACGTTTCCAGTCAGCCCCACATCTTCCAAGACTGGACAGGTTTGTGTGAGGTTAAAGACATTGTTTCTTAAGGTCACAAATCACAAGACCCCAAGTAAGGGTCTCAGGCACACAGGATCGCCATATCCTTCCCTGCAACACTCGGAAGACGTGCTCTGGACTCCTCAGCCGCTTCCCGGCCTGACGTGAGCTGCACGCCCATGGACCATCGGTCAACACGCACATCGCACGTGCTACGTACGCACGTGAGGCATTGACGAGACCAGAACGAGACCAAAACAAGACCAAAACGAAACCAAAGATTGACTAGGCAAACAGGCTGCCTTGGTAAAGTTGGGAACGAAGCATGTCGCAGGCAATGAAAGATCTCACAGGAGCTCCTCGCCTCCAGTTCCTCCAACTCCCAAAGCTACCCCAACTGCCAAAGTGTCCGCTAGCTTCAGCAAGCTGCTTCCATTAGCTGCGGAAACATTGCCACCAACCCTTTTCAAACAACAACTGCGCTTGTTTCAACGGTTCAAAGCAAGCCTCGTACACCTTCCATGAGCTGTGCTAGAGTTGGGCACTTCAGTTACTTATGATGTCACCCAACGCACCAAATGCTCACTCGCTTTTGCTTCTGTTTCCGTGAAAGCCGCAGCGATTGCAAACTCGTTCTTTTGGCAATTGATGCTAATTGTGTGACAGGCGCAGCATACTGGTCATGTCTATGTGAAACATGTGCAATCGCATCAGCAAGCAATATCTAGTAGGCGCATTCACGCGAAGCCATAGCGAAACAGCGCTTAGCGGAGGTGCGCTGCTTGCTAGTTGAAATCTACTCCAACTCCCGTCAAGTTTGATCCTCAAGGTCAGTCTTGCAATTTTTACGCGGGCTTCGGCCCAACTGCTACAGTTTCCGACCGAGAACAAAATGCTGGCCTTCACGCTATCAGAATTCACTCACCATCTAAGCCTCAACCAAAGCATCGTCACGCATGCTTTGTGTTGTCCATGAATTGCCAAGCCTTCATCCTCCACTTTGCACATGCAGTTTGGGTTGCTCTTGTCGCTCTGTTCCACCTTCACCAACTTGTTGACAATCCAGCCCACTGGTGAGGGAAGAGCCAAATTGGTGCTGAAAAACAAAGAGGCACACTCAACACACGGGCCGAAACCCAAGGGCTGGGCGCGCAAAGCCGCAGAGCCTGTCCTTGGGATTCACATCTTTAGGCAACCCGAAGATCCAAGGGCTTCAATGCGCGTTCAAGAGTCCAAATTGACTCAACAAAATCCGCCGCACAAGCTCTGGACAAAAAAAACGTGTTGCTGTTTCAGGGCCAAGTAGAGCTGGGTGCAGATTTGGCGCGGCGTCGGGCAAGTGAACCCCCTTGCAAAACAGGTCTGGAGGTTGGCTCAGGATTCGTTCTGGCTGTGTTTTTGTGTAGGTAGCTTGGGTTTGGGATGGCCTGCCGGATTTAGGCTGTTAGATTTGGCTTCAGCTGAGTTTGGGGTGCCTTGCAGTTAATTCAGGTGGGATTCGGGGTTGGTTTAGGCTGCATTGGATGATATAAAGCGTTTGTTTTTGGGTTTGTTTAGGGTGTGCTCAAGATTGGCTTGGGGTCTTTAGGTGTGCCACGTGAAAAGCCAGCCAAAGTTGCAAACGACAAATTCCAAGCCAAAGCACACATTCGAAACCCAATCACACGCATCCTTTAAGCAAATGACCCTCGATGCTTAAACCCGACATGAAACGAACGAGAGAACTTGCCTAACCCAACCATTCTTCGCAGCAAGCAGGAACCCTGAATTTTTGAAAAATGCCAACTGCAGTTGTCCAAGCGCCCAGCCAAAGACCGCGGCTCCTTGGCCTGCGGGCCAAACGCCTGGGAGGCCAAAGACCATGACAAAACTGCGGATAAAGACTTGGAAAATGCGCCCCATGCTTCCCAAAAACCTACCAAAGTTGCTCAAGTTGCCACCACTATGCAGTGATTTTAAGGGGTTTGGGGGGTCTGAAGACTCAGTTGCTCTGCCGAGGGATTTGTCAAATGACCACTGAGTATCGTAACCCTAGTTCATAGGCCCCCCCCAAACCACACATGGGTAATTAGGCTCAGCATGCACAGTGTAATGGCCACTGTTTGGGCTGAACAAGCAGCCCTTCTTGAGGGGGATTGGACCAAGCTCTTTCCAAAAACACATTCAAGTTTTAGCGTGTCAACCATCATTCTGGCATAAATGTCAAAAGGCCCAAGTGATCCAACCGTTTTTAGATTAGGGTGTGCCAGACACGGTCAAAAGGATGAAATCGCTTAGAACGACTTCTGGCGGGGATGGGCCAAGCATTCCTTCCTATGTGTTTGCCCGTCCAAACTCCAGCTGCACTCTTGTCTTGGATAGGCCAGGAGCGGTTGGTCCAGGATTCTCCTCAAACGCGTTGTTTTTGAAATGCTCAGGTAGATTCCTACATTTGGAAACAAAGTAAATCCAAACTGCAGAAAGATATGTCTTTATACAACACTCGTGGATCCACGAAAAACTCCATTATGTTAGAGTTCTAGGTCCTGCTGGGTTCGTTTTCTGATTTAGGTTTGAGATGTATGTTCCTAAGTCCCGGAAGAAGGCAGATTTTGAGGGGGGCACCGGCGGGGAAATACCCATTTAGGATAAGAGTTGCGAATGGCAGAAAGTTATGCTAAAAAACTACCCCCAATCGATAGTCACCTAGTCACCAATCTGAACAAACAAAAGCCTCGCATCTTCACTGTTTGCCTCTAAGACCGACAATCCTCTCAACTGCGCTGTGACTCGTCGTGAAAGCACGTTGCGGCGCATTCATCCCACTCTCATGAGTTCGCCGGACATTCCAGGAACTGAGGGATCCCTATGCAGAGCTTGCCAATGAACACTAAGCTTGGAAAAGCTGGGGGTCCCAACTTATAAAGTAGGATACTCATTTGGGTTTGATGTGTCTGGCAGAATCCATGGACCAGGACAGTAAAAGCAACTTGCAGGCCCAAAACAATAGGAACTCTCAACCTAATTCAGTCAACCACTTTCTGTCCCGGGGCCAGTTTTTTTGCTTGCTGTGATCCTTTAAGCAGCTCCATGGCTAAGACGACGAAGACCCTTAAATCCTGAAGCGTCCAAAGCCCTGAAACCCTGAAGACGTGCAACCATACATCCTGAAACATAGATTCTAGACCATGAAGATCAGCGTATGGTGAAAATAGCAGTCTTGGCTTGGCGTGGTCATTGATCTGCTTGGCCATGGTGACAGGTTATACTTGAAGGGGAAATCCTCAGTGGGTCGTCAACCAGGGCCACCGGGGGCCCAGAGCACGCGGCCGTGAAATTTCCTGGGGCCTGGGCGGGCCAACGAAGAGCCGCTGCCAGCACCTTGGACAGGGCAGATCCACACAAATCTCCCAGCCCTTAAAAAGTGCTTCCTGGCCACTCTATCAGTGAGCAAAAATAGAAACTACAACTTTCAGCCTGGCCAGGATGTCCTTCGGGGAGTGGAATCAAGCGATTGCGCCTTGGTGAAAAAGACAAGGCCAATTCATATTTTCTGGCAGAAGCTTGATTGTGATGTTTGGACAAACATGCTTTGATTCAGCTTGGAGAATCCTCTGATTACGTCCACGCACGCGCCCCCGCCACATGGGGGGGCCCTTCGTGTGTGCTGCCCAAAAGGGTGCCTCTCCTTCAAGTCCAAACTAAGCACCGCTTTGACAGCCTTACATTATACACCTGAACATTGCCTTGTAAATGGTGGTGTCCCTTTATTTTGGCCGAAAAAGCCATGTTTCAAATGGGCAAAATGTATCTTTTGAGGAGCCCTGTATGCGGATGGTGGAAATCAAGCCAAACAGCTAACTGACGGCAGAGGTCCCAATACACATTTGATATTACCTGCAGCTGTCCAAGAGGCAGATCCCTTTCATGAACACACCTTATGCACCTCTGCACTGATCAAAACTAGGATGGTTCTGCTAACATGTGGCTTCACCCACTATGCGCGAGTGCAGCCCAAGAGTACCGCTTACAAATGCTTTCAGGGCCGCTCGAAAGCCTTGCAAGCACGCCCTCCCCAAAAAAGAACTGAAGCCACCGGGTGTCAATTCATCTCCTTGATCTGCAATCCATCTCTTTCCCGCCAAGGCACACCTGGAGGACCCAGAATGATTCCTGCGGACCGGCGTAATGCCCGACGAAAACAAGCACTGGACTGGTTCAAAGAAAGAAACCTGCGGAACACTTGTCCTGAAAAAGAATGCAACCATTGCTTTCAAAATGCGTGTTCACGTGTATACAAATGTGTATATAGAAATCCATTGTAGTGTTGTATACATATGGTCACTAGTGGTTGCGAGTTTCACGTTTTGAAGTCAAAACTGACATTTGCTTGTTTTGCGCACATGTGGAGCTTTGAAGGGCTAAAGCATGCACAAGAACTGGTCCAAAGACCTCCTGGGGCTGTTGTTTTTGTCGCTTTTGCCTGTCCCCGGCGAAACATCCGCTGCTACCTCTGCCTGTGCCAAAAAAAAAGTTCTTCAACGTGGATCCAGGAATTCATGCCATGCATTCGCCAAGCCAGGGTTGGCAACCCAAGCTTTCCTGTAGCTTGTCCTGACATGCGTGCACATGGCTTCGAATTTGCTGGGGACGTTCTGAAAAGCTTGGGCAGAAATGTAAATTACGTCTGCCAAAGAGTACCCTTTGAATTTCGTTCTCATTCACCTTAGACTCTCTCAGACACAGCTCGGTCCTTGACCTGGACTGTACCCCGCTGCAAAGACCCGCGCGCACTCGCGCGGCGCCGGCACAGCCTGAGGCGCAAACTGAACATAGGGCCATGGGTCAAAATCCAAATCGTACCCCCAGACATCCCAATCCAACCACTAAAATAGACAATGGGTGGTGAATGCACCTACCAACCAAAATGGTACCATTGCTTTTGACGAGCCATATCCCAACATAGGGTCCCCACAATTGGGAATCTCCCTTTCCTTTCAGGGGGCCGACCAGCTAAAAGGAAGCCCCCAACTCTTATCCACAATCCTCCTAGTGACACAAGCCGACACTTTGTTGCTCCGTGTAACATGGAAACTGAAACGTCAACCTCAAGGGAAACCAAACCCCAACCCTATGTTTTATCTTCGCTTGGGAGCTAACATCAAAGCACTTGACCCTTCCCCTTGGTGTTGCCCTCTGGAGCCTCCGGAGAATCAGCCCATGATCAAGATGAGGGTCCCTTCCTCTGAACTTTCCTCTAGGCCCCAAACGCCGTGTCAAGTTGGCATTGGATCGGTTGTCAAACACTTGCTGGTTTGCTTCGACTCAAGCAATCGCACATTCATTAGCCCTTCATGCTGGTCCCACATTTAGCCAACACAACAAAGGCATATACCTGAGCCTTGGACAATTGCAAACGGCAGCCAACCGGAATTCACGCCCTTGTCTGTGCACTGAATCGTGACGTAACTGTCAAGGGTTCACCTTGTTCACTGCGAAGTCTGAATATCGGAATTCTACACTGAGAGCTCCTTCCATTTGGGCTCACCTGTTTTATTGGCGTCCTATTTGAAACTCAGAACTGGCTGTTTCGTTCGCATTCCGAAAATGAATCCTAGCGATCAACTGATCTGACAACCTGGTCAAACCAAGCTGCGCCACTGGCCTCCGCGGTGTTTTCCTGCGCACATCTTGGGACTCTTGCACTTGGCGCAAGTAGAAACCTTCCTTGACGACATGCAAGGCCAATCTTTTGAGACCAGGACTGAACATGGAAAGCAAAAACTAAACAAGAGACTGGCAGTGCTCTTTGGACAACTAAGCGCGATCTCAAGCAAACCAAAGCATGCATGTTGCTTTGGGCAAACCAAACAAACTGCTCGAAACCATTTCCTCATGCCATGATTTGAGCAAGCCATCTAAAGCACCTAGCAAAACAGCTCGGGCATGCAGCAGAAGGCTGGGAAACATGTGGCGCTTTGAATATGTCAGGTGAAGCTCTACCCATGAAGAACGCTAGATGCCACAACTTGGCACTTCGCATGACATGCCGACTCCTTCAATACGATTGAACTCAAGCAGGTGTTCTTACCATACACGTGGCTCATTGATTGCATCCGCACAAGCAATGGTCATCTCTGGTGGAAAGCCTCAAAGCACCAAAGTCCAATGCGGTATGTTCTCGCGAAACTCGCGCGAATCTCGCACTTTCTTCAAACATTGCTCGGCTATGTTCAGGATCTTCGTGAGGTTGAACATACGGTATTCTTATCTGGAGACGTGAATTTATCCGAAGTGGACTGTAGGCGCTGACAGCTGTTGAATCCTCAATTCCTTGCTCCGTTGAAAGCCCGTCTGGAGGTTCCACACCCGGTCTTGACCGATCTCCCGAGGTGATCAGCGCAATGTTGCGCAGTGCCAACAGGATTGAACAACTCCCTTTTTGTTGACGGTCCTCTTCTTTCTGGTGACCAGCAACTTAACAAAACGGGAGAGAGCTGTGCGCAGCTACCAAACAATTCGGTCTGACGCCGATTTCTGCTTCTCTGCCCTGAGGCCGGCCAAGCAAAACTGGATTCGCGCCTCCATGGCGAACAGTTTGGCTCCACACTCTTGGACGGGAGCAATTGCGCGGCTCGGGCCAATGGCGAATCACAACCCAGTCCCAGCGCATCCGGGAAACGAGCAACCCACATTGCCATGGTGTCAAACCTGAGCCAGGCACGAGGGATGTTCATGATTCCCTTCACTCAGATCACCTTTGAAGCTTTCCAATCAACCCGATGAACAAGGTGAGGATTGTCTGCAGTAGCCACAACTGTCAGGTGTTTCGATCATGGCTCAAGAATGGCAAATCCAGCCAAGCGCCGTGATGGTGATGTGGCAAAATGTTTGTGCCGACTGCCGATCAATCGCCAAGCATTGATGTTTTCTCGGGTGCACCCTAAATGCCTTCTTCCAGTCAGTCCTTTTTGCAGAACCGACAAGGGAGTGTTCAAACCATCTGAGTTGTCCCATGGACATTTTGCGCAAGCATCTGTTCAAGGGCCTCCCAAGAAGCAGAAGAAATTCCATAAGATGGACTAAACTTAGGAACCCTGAAACATTCACCACTGCGGGGGAAGGAAACAGACATGTCTCACAGCCTTGGCCGCAATGGGGATGCGTGACAGATTGTTTAATGCTCAAAACCGGAGCCACGGATTTTGCAAACGGAGGGGAAAAACTGCGGGGATGTTTGGGGGTTCCATACAGCCGAATTTTCGGGAGGCAGATCGGGTAGAAAGCGACAAACAAGAGCCATCCTACGAAACGACGCGCGGCTCTTTTTGTCCGGAGTTGCTCAGACAGGCACTGATGCAAATGGATCGACAACGCGTGTCTTCTGCATCCCCTGCGGAGCCTGTGGACAAACCCCCACTTTAGGGCTCTGAGCAACCGGTATGCAACTACACCCCGCTTTAGTGCGTTCGCGCTGCTGCCCTGTGCTCAGGGCGCCACGGTGCATCTTCAGGACGCAGTGTCAAGGCGGATGTGTGCACCCTTCAGACTTGCCCCGAGCCATACTGCAGCTTGGGTCCGCGTCGCAGATCCCTCAGCCAAACATACGCGTATCTCCAAAGCCAGCGATTCCAGCTTGGAGTGGTTGCTGCTGTGTTTTTAAACTGATTCTGCGGAGACTAAAATGATGACGATCTGACCGTAATTCTGCGGAGACGACTAAGATTAATTACGATCTGACCGTGATTCTGCGGAAACTAAAATGATGACGATCTGACCGCAATTCTGCGGAGACTAAGATTAATTACGATCTGACCGTGATTCTGCGGAGACTAAAATTGATGACGATCTGACCCAATTCATAACAAACTGCGGAGACTAAAATGATTACGATCTGACCGTAATGCTGCGGAGGCTAAATTGACCGCCATTTTGCCGGATCAGCAGCTCTGAGTGGAGTTTTGAAATTAAATTTAGAACTTGTTTTTGAACCTCAGTGACTTGCCAGCCAAGGTCACTGACTGACTGCGCCCAACGAAATGAACACAATGAACTGTTTGTCAGTGAGGGGCGTCAGGCCTGACAAAGCTGATGTATTGTATTAGACTAGTGTCCAAACTTGCTGCACGCTGCTTGTCAGTCTGCGCCGGATTGCTTGATAGGAAAGACTTGTCAGGGATAAGAGAACAACAGCAGTAGAAGGAAAGAATCCAGGAACAGCAGCAAGCACCAGGAAAGACTTCAGAATAAGCGAATCAGACTTGGCATTGCCTGCTGTATGATGTCTGACTTCATGGTAGGCATTGCGGTCCTGCGCATCTCTGCTACACGCTCATATCTTATTGCCTGCATATTGAAGCAAGCTGAAAACCCTTGCAGAAATGCAAGCAGAAGGGCTGTGGCTGCACCGCGCAAAACCACCAAATTTTCGCAGAATCCACATATGCTGAATGATAAGCTCTGAGGATGCGCATTGAGCGGTTTTTCACAAATAACAGAGAAAGGGCTTGTCTTGGGGCCTGAACCCCGTGACCCTGCCCCAGTCTCAGCCGAGCTTGCGGCCGAGGCAGTCACGCCGGAGCCTGCCTCCGCCCAGCTTCGACCAGCTGGCAAAAGACATCGAGGCTGCTTTAAAATTTTTCCTCCTTGAGAGTTTTTGCACAGATTTTGGCTTCAAAAAGCTATTACTCTGGGCTGTATATTCATATACACCCTAGAGTAATAGCTTTTTTGCACGGTTTTTGCACGGTTTTGCGCGCAAAATGCTATCAGTCTAGTCGGGGCTTGCGCTTGCGTCCCTGGACGCAGGGAGGCCTGCACACAGTTTGTTTCTACTTGTTCTTTGGCCCGCGCTGAGCCTGCCAAGCTTCACACCCCCGACAGCACGCTGGTAAGGTGAGAGTAGTCGAGGCTCCCTCTTTAGAGGGGGTTTCCCAAATGGATTCTATTCTACCTGACAGGCTCGTGGCACTCGTCCGTCCAGGAAACGACCTCGTCCTGCGAAGGATTCGAAACCTAAAACGCTGCGTGCAGGCGTGTGGCTGCAACATAACGACCCCTAGATATGCTTGCAAAATGCCCCGCAGCTGCGTTTCTGCAAGGCGAGCTAAAATAACAGGGAAAAAAAGAAAGCCAGCCAGAAAGCCAGCCAGGAGCCAACCAGAAAGCCAGCCAAACCAGCCAGAAAGCCAGCCAGAAGCCAGCCAGAAAGCCAGCCAAACCAGCCAGAAACCAGCCAGAAACCAGCCAGAAAGCCAGCCAGAAGCCAGCCAGAAAGCCAGCCAGAAGCAAGCCAACCAAACCTCTTTTTGAGCCAGAAGCCAGCCAAAGCCAGCCAGGAGCCAGCCAAAAAGCCAGCCAGGGTTTCCTTTGAGGGTCGCCTTGCAGAAACAAAGGCAGCTGCGGGGCATTTTGCCAAACCGCATATCTAGCAGTCGTTATGTTGCAGCCACACGCCTGCACGCAGCGTTTTAGGTTTCGAATCCTTCGCGGACAAGGTTGTTTCCTGGACGGACGAGTGCCAGGAGCCTGTCACGTATAAAAAAATTGATTTGGGGAACCCCCTCTAAAGAGCACGTATAGCAAGGAGCCCGGAGACTGGCGGCTTGGCGTGTAAGAGCCATATAGCACATATAGCACATATAGCAAGGAGCCCGGAGACTGTGGGGGTTCAGCGGCTTGGCGCGGCTTCAATGCTGGGCAGGAGGCTTCGATACCGGGCTCTACACCATATAGCACACAAAGCACATATAGCAAGGACCCCGGGGACTGTGGGGGTTCAGCGGCTTGGCGTACACTTTTGTTGCAATATTGCGGCAACGAGAGTCAACCATGGAGCAATTTTGAATCAATATTGCGGCAACGAGAGTCAACCATGGATCAATATTTAGAGGGCGTTTCCCAAATGGATTCTATTCTACCTGAGAGGCTCCTAGCACTCGTCCTGTCAAGCTTTGCCAAAGGAAACCCCTTTTCCCTTTCTTTCGGGGACCCCTTTTTTTGGGACCCCTTGTTTTCTGTTTTTTTGTTTTTTTCTTAGCCCTGCAAAGGTTGGCTCGCTTGAAATGCAACCTGGAGCCAAATTGCAAGCGTATCTAGGGGTCATTATTTTTCAGCCACACGCCTGCACGCAGCGTTTTAGACTTCGAATCCTTCGCAGGGACGAGGTCATTTCCTGGACGGACGAGTGCTAGGAGCCTCTCAGGTAGAATAGAATCCATTTGGGAAACGCCCTCTAAAGAGAGAGGCAGTGGACAGGCGCTACTTCGGGCACCTCCTGGCTCAGAGGCCCTGCCGGCGTCTGCCTGCGCGTCCGTCCTGCTGCGCAACAGCTTCTTAGGAAAGTGGGGCTCCTTCGCACAGCGGCCACTTAGATGGGCCGGTGAATTGGTATAGCCTTCTAGTACTTTAACATAATTAGGTATGTTAATTATAAAAATTAGAAATCACTAGCTAATAATTAGCTAGCAATTAACTTGCATTAACTTGCACAATCTAAGCTCAAAAAAACATGGACAGGCGCGCCTTTGCCCAGGCTTTGAAAATTTGAAATCCATTGAGACAGGGAACCAATTTTCCATGAAGCCCCTGCCAAGAGGAGCACCTTTGGGTGCACCAGATTGCTTGCAAGGCTTCTAAAGACATGCTGCATGGGGCAGCGCTGCAGTGCTTTCAAGAAGCAGGTCACAAACGGCACAGCAAGCTGCAGAAGCGCAAACAGCATGTGCTGCAACATAGACTTGCACACCGCCAGTTGCGGAGTATCATCCAAAGGCCCATGCACACCCCCATTGCAAGCCACAGTTGAGGTTGCCATGTGCGCTGGTTGCAAGTGAGCCTACATGTGGCTGAGGTTACTGGGCTTGTTGCATGGCTGAATGAGCACATTGCGCTGACTGCTGCCTGGAACTGTGTGGGCTGGTTGGCTGAATGAGCACACTGTGCTGACTGGCTGAATGAACACATGTTTGGCACGTGGCACCCTTTTGCACTTCCCCGTCAACTGCCCGCGTGGGGCACAGGTGGTAAGGCACAAGTGTTGTCAAAGTGCCATTGCTAGCCAGATTGTACACTACAGAGCATTGGATTTCCTCAGCAGGCAACACCACATGTGTGTCCAACTGCTCCCATTCAGCTTTCCCTTGGCCCCCATCAAAGGATTTCAAAGCAAACTCTGAAGCAAGTGTGTACACAATGCCTTCCACTTCGAAGTGGCACCAGCATTGCCCACAAGAAAAGGCTAAGTCTTTGTGATGCTTGCTGCCAGGGTCATTGAACAAAATCATATCTCCTTTGGAGCAAGTGCTACCACACCCAAGCCTGCACCGGTGGCTTGTGTTGCAAGCCTCCACCCCCAAGAGGTAGTCAAAGTTCTGCTGCAGAAACAGAGCAAGCTTTTTCGGTGCTGGGTGTGGGGCAAGGAGCCCCACCCCATTTGCAAAGACCCCTTCCTGCTGCCATTCTGTAAGCTCTTGTGTCAAGACTTCATGGTACATAGACAGCTCGTATTTGCTTGTGTTTTGAATGGGGTCTGCAAACCTCCTCAGCAACTTGTGCTTCCTCTCCATGCTCCAGCATGCTGGCAGCATCTGGAATTTTCTTAGAGCATCACCATAGTGCAGCATCCAGTGGTGCTT